TCAAAGGACCTAGAGGTGTAAAGTGGGGCTGCAGGCCGTGCTGTGGGCTTGGGCCGTGTCGGGCTGGGCCACAGGGCGGGCCTTGGGCCTGGGCCGAATCGGGCTGCATTTTTTTATTTTTTTTATGTTTTTTTGAAAAATTTGATTTCTTTTCTAAGTAAAATTGTAAAACTAAAATATTTAACTTTCATCTGAACTTTGAGAATTGTGAACTATTTAGAAAATTAAGAAATGAGAAATCTAAGTTATCTAACACATAAATGAAAAAAAATACTTAACCAAATTGAAATAAGCATGATGGAATAACAAATTGGAGAAAAATAAGAATTTTATTTCATTTAAATTTGAATGGTACAAATTACAAATACAATGATTGGATCATTGGATACTTGGATGAATGAAATATGAAAATGAAATAAATTAATAAAATATAAAACATACAATATAGTTACAAATTGAAAATACAAAACTATATTATTAAAAAATTAAAAAAATATCAAATAAGTTAAATAAAATTAAAAATTTTACAATAATTTGAAAAAATAAAAAAATCTATACAAGTAGTCAAATTCATGGGTCATGATTTATAACTTTCATCATCTACTTCGAGTGAAATATTCGGTGTAGTATCATGCCCTCCTTTGTCTTGTAATCTATCTTCTGCATCTAGCCAATCTTTGAAGTAGATGCACATCTTTATGCTTTCATCGTTCATGCACCTTCTTTTGTCATCCAAGCACCCTAGTACCAGCACTAAAACAAGAATCCGATGGAACTGTAGACACTGGAGGGGTTAGTAGATCACGTGCCATGGTGGTGAGAACTGAATAAGTTTTTGAATGTTCACTCCACCAGGCTAAAATATCAAAATTATTTGATCATTCACCTAAATTAGAAAAAATTGCTTGTAAATAAAAATTAAGTTCAGTAAATGAACTTGTTGTAGAAGTAGCAGATTTTTGCCTTCTACTTATTAAATAAAAAAGTTTCTCTTCTACTACTAGGCTCAAGGTCAAAAGTAGAAGATATTGTACAAATTGTACATTTCAAATAATAAATTATTAATTTCTTCTTTTTTATTTCCTATATCAACATTCATATTTTCACAATATGATTCAAGTAAAATATCTAAACCATCTTTCCTAATCCTAGGGTCTAATATTATAGCTAACCAATAAAGGGGAGAAATGTTCTCCCAATATTTTTTTTAAATTTAATTTCCATTATTTCAACAATACATTGAAATTATGGATGATTTCTATATTTTACAAAACAATCACTAATTGCCATTAATTGATAAGGTAAATTAAAACTAGTTAGATAATAAATTCCAAATAATTCATTAGTTGCATCATAAAAATGTTTTAAAAAATCTCTTATGCACCAGTCTTCCTCAAATATTATATCATTAGGCATTTTTGAATTATAAAAATTAGTAAGAATTTATTCATGAGAAATACAATTTTCTAACATAGCATAGGTAGAATTCCACCAATACTTTACATCTAATATAAAATGTTTATATTTTAAACCATAATTTTGACATAAATATTTAAATTCTTGTTTTGTTGCCCCTGAACTTTTTATATATATAATACAATTTCTAATCTTTGAAATATGAGTAGAAATAATATTCAAGGCATCTTGAATACATAAATTTAAGATGTGGCATGCACATCTAATATGAAATAATTTACCATTTAAGCATGGTCTTAATTGAGATTTTAAAATATTTATTGCAGAATCATTATTGTTGGCATTATCAAAACTAATAGAAAATAAGCATGCAAAGTATTTAAAATACTTGCAGCAATAGCTGAGCCAATATGTGGCCATTCAAGTCTAGTAAAACTTAAAATTCTTTTATTCAAAAGCCAATTTTCATTAATGAAATGGCCGGTAACACAAATATAACATATATTAAATTTGGATGTCCAAACATTCAAATTAATTGCAACTTTAGAATTAAGATTTGTTAACAAAGAAATTATATTTTATTTATATGAATAAAAAATTTTTAAAGCATTCAACCTAATAGTATTCCTAGAAACTTTTTTATATTGTGGGTTTACAGAATTACGCAGCCATTTTCAAGCTTTGGATGTACAATATATTTAGCAAGTTCTTGTCTCGTTTTTTCTTGTGAATATTTAAAAGTACCAAAACTACTCCCTCTCCCAATTTGTGTTTGAGTTGTTTCTCTCCCTTCATCTTCTTCTTTCTCATGTGTGAGCAAATGTCTATTCAAATGACCCGTACCACCCTTGCTACAATAACTAAAGCCCTTCCTACATTTTTGGCAAACGACCCTTTTCCCCCTCCCCTCAATATTTACTTTGAAATTTTTTCAAACCGGGCTACTCAACTTAGAGGCCCTCCTTTTTTCCCCTAGTATCAGTATCAGGGGTGAATGTTCCACTTCCATCGACATCAATCGCATCAGTGCTAACACTATCATGATGCGATTGAATATCATCAATGGTGAACATGTTGAGGAATCGATTTTTAGAAGAGCCGGCAAATTTTTTTTTTTTAATTCTAAAAAGATAAAAATTAATCTAATTCGACTTACCCGGATTGTCGGTTCAAAATCCCAACTTGATTTCAACGGTTGAAGCCTTTCAATGTCCAAGCCTCCCAAATTGAGCTGGTTGAGCAAGTCTTCTTCTTGTTGAAAGTTGAAACTTCAATAAAGTTGAGACTTGAGAATTGGAGAATGCAGAATCAGACATTCAGTTAATCAGAATTACTCAGATTGTAGAGAATTGAGAATGTATGAGTAAGAGAGAGAGAGAGAGAGAGAGAGAGAGAGAGAGAGAGAGAGAAGATATTAAGAGAATTATTGAATTGGTGTGATGAGAATGGTGGAGGATATGACTATTTATAGGAATTAAACATAATTCAATTGGAGAATTATTGAAGTTGAAACTTCAATAAAGTTTAGGCTTGAGAATTGGAGAATGCAGAATCAAACAATCAGCTAATCAGAATTACTCAAATTGCAGAGAATTGAGAATGTATGAGTATGAGAGAGAGAGAGAGAGAGAGAGAGAGAGAGAGAGAAGATATTAAGAGAATTATTGAATTGGTGTGATGAGAATGGTAGAGGATAGGACTATTTATAGGAATTAAACATAATTCAATTACCCAAAATGCCCAAAAAATTGGTTGTTATTTAGTTGTTGGGAGGGGTATTTTGGTCATTGTAAAATTATTTATAACTTTACCCAAAAATCCCCCTAAACTAGTTGTTATATAGCTATTGGGGGGCATTATGTCATTTTGTCAATCCCCATAAGCAAAATACACAAATACCCCCCAAATATGGTCGTTTATAGCTATTGGGGGGTATTTCTGTAAAAACCCCCTAAAAGCTGAAACTAGCCATTAAGCCCCTTGGGGGGGCCCAACAGCTATATTCTGGGTGGGCCGAGTGCAGCTCGCTACGGGCCCCTCAGGCCGTGCCGGCACGTGAGCCGCGGGCGGCACGGCACGAACAGTCGTGTTGTGTTGTGCTAGCCCGTGGACCTTGAACACCCGACCCAGCACGGCACGAACCTTCGTGCCGGAACGTGGGTAACCCGACCCAATTTACACCTCTAAACCCTATCATGCAGAAGTTAGAGCTTTAACTCTGTGCTAGAAATAGAAAGATCAATGAAGTTTAGAAAGATTGCAATTTTCCTCGATGCAAAGCAACTAGTAGATAAGCTTTGAAGGAGAAACATGGAGCGAAACTGGATTGATCAAATGCATGAATCATATATCTTATCTCTATATAGTTATTTTGAAGCGATATCTTTTGTTTATACACCTAGAATGCATAACTATCTAGCTCATGGGCCAAAAGTTTCTCTTTTTGCTAGGGGTGCTTATAAAAAACCGAATGTGAGTCCATTACAAATGGACCAGTCCGTCCAGTCCAATCCAATGAAGATTTTGGACCATTTTAGATCGGTCCAATTCAATGTTTGGACCGTCCAACTGTTCAAATTCATTTTAATTTATATTGGTTTCAATCCAAATCTGGTCCATTGACACCTATATTCTTGTCGATCCAACCCAATCCAATATAAATTTATTATAGATGGACCAGGTCCAGTCCAATCTAATAAATAATTTGGACTGGATTGAACCAATCCAATATGTCTTGTTGGTCCATCCAATCCATCCAAATTGATTTTGGACTAGACAAGGTCTAGTCCAAAATCGGTCCATTGACACCCTTACATGTACATATACATATAAATATATAAATAATAAATAATTTTTATAATTCTTATTTTTTGTATGTAAAATAAAAACATTTATTATATGTATATTTTTTATTTTTATATGTATAATAATAAATAATTTTTATAATTCTTAAATTTTTGTATGTAAAATAAAAAACATTTATATATATATATAATTTTTATTTTGTAGGAAAAAAAAACTTGGCTTGCAATCGAGCTCGAGCCGAGCTGAGTTCGAACTTGCGAGCTTTGAACCAAACCAAGCTCGAGCCTAACACAGTTTCAGCAAGCCGAGCTCAAATAACCAAGTATTTGGCTCAGTTTGGCTCAAATCCACCCCTAATCTTAGGCTACCCTTAAATTGATTCAAAGCAAATTTCTAAGAGGGTTATTAGAATATTTATCAAGTGCTTCCTCAATGCACTCGCAAAGATGTGCTTATTAGAAGATATTATAAACATTGATAGTTAGGGGTAGAGAGAAAGAGACAATAATGACAAATTTTAGTGGAAAAAATTAAGACCTATGAGGGCTTTTATAGTTTAATTCCAAAATCAAGCCATATCTATGATGCTGGAAAGACATGATATCATAAGAATTTTAACCAATCAAAACCCACCCATGAATTTTGATAAATACCACCTGATTGGTTATCATGTTAATAATACTGGTTGATTGGCCACAAGTTTTTCAGATATCATGTCCTTCCGAGAGTTGTATCAACTCTTTTCTTCTTCTTCTTTGGCCTGAGATACAACCAATCAACCTGCATCATAAAATTAGTAACCAATCAGGTGGGATTTCATCAAATTCATAGTCACGGGGGGTTATGATTGGTCAAAGCCTTGGTATCACATCTTTTCGGCATCATAGGTTTTCCCTGCATGAAATCGTTGCTTTGTAAGCTTAAAGGATGGCAATCCGCTTCATTAAGGGTTTAGAGAGAAGGGGAATAGAAGGATGATCGTGCCTTGGCGCAACCAGATTCAGTTCTGAAGCATCCTGCAACTGGAGGGTACAGGGTTCTTGACCCACTGCGGCTGAAACTCAACATTAGACTAGAGAGCATCTAGTGTGCTGAAGTTTCAATGCTGTGCCTCCCTTTGTTGACCGATCAATTCACCAACCGGAGATTAATAGTTGATGATCTGGACGGTCGGGCTGAATTTCAAAAGTAAATTCAACTAGAAAGAAATCGCAGACAAAATCAAAACTTTCATAAACGGAATGTTGATTGTTGGAAGGAGATAAAGAATGTGAAGAAAGCACTGGAAAATGCATCGAGGATTGGCGGATCATCTGAGAAAAATTTCGACCAGTTCATCGAGGATTTGACACTCAGAATTCAGAAGGAACTTTGGTTCATGAAGCCACAGCGTCAACAACTTGGGTATGTAATCTGTCCATCTTGGTTTCATAATCCTCAGGAAAATTTTTGGAATAAAGATAATCAGGGGACGGGCTAAAAGGTTTATAATGTTTATTAGAATTTAGAAATGTACACCCATTAGTTCCACTATCCTTACTGTTGCCTAGAAGGCTAGAACTGACCTGAATCCTGCAAATGTTTTCCGCTTAACGAGTCCAGAGAAATGAGCGGAACAAGCCTGACTGTAGTTTTGTGTTGTCCAGGCATGAACCAAAATGGATTGGGTTTTTAGCTGTAATGAAATTGAGCCAAATGCATTACAAACCCTTTATTTTTCCTACACAAGTTTTAAAATCCAAACACTGAGATGATCGTCTATTGCAGCAACAAATTCCACTAGAGAACCAGATCACATACAAATTTACATGATGCACATCCAAATAGGTGGCGTAACAAATAATAATAGCATTTATCTTGCTTTTGTTGTGTTCCTATCAGATCCATAAAACTTACAGGCAGATGTGTTCTTCCTTGCCCGAAAATACATCAAAAGAAACAAAACAAAACGGTACGCAATGCCCATCACAAACAAGTAGAGCAAATTTTCCCATTTAGCATTACTATCAGTGGAAATGTCATAGGCACTACGAAGAGCCTGGACGCCAGAAATGGTCCTTACTTGCCCAACTGCAAAGGAAGTTCCAATGTACTCGTTCTCCAAAAGCCCCTGCAATTCAAGAATGGATAAAACAAGAATGATCAGAAGACTCATTCAGACAGAAGCTAGCTAGTATTTTCTCTTTTGTCCTTTATTCTTCCAGAGGTCAGATGGTTCACTGTTCACTCTGACATTAAGCCATTGGTTTCAATCAAAGATTGGCTTTTGCAACTTTGATTCTTAAGTTGAACATACCCGTAAGGGTGGTTACTCCATACTTTTTTCCCAATATAGCCAAGTTGAAGAATTTACACTGCACCAGGGTTGGGCCCATCCAAATTTGAACAAATGTTCAACCCAAGCCCGCCCAAAATTCCACTCTTATGACATACTAAATCCTGAGAACTGAAAACAGGAAAAGATCAGGACACTCTACCCACCTGGATAGAGTATGTGTGGAAAGCAATGTAGGACAATGGATAGGTCCATATTGGTCCAGGCAAAGCACTACGGATTCTGAAGAATCCTGCTACAAGCATCATTATCACCTGAAAAGTATAAAAATTAATGGTTAGACTAGGAAAGTTAAATAGTTGAACAGTGTGAATTAGTAAAAGTACCAAAAGTTGAAGACAATGTAGTAACTGCAAGGGCCACTACAAATGCAACCAATGTCTTTCAACATACACAGAAAACAGACATCAAGCTAACGAGCTTGTAAAAGTACGGATGAGGCAAATAGAACATTATCACTGCTCTGTTTTCTTTATCCCCCATTGTTTTGCCTTTTTCCCTCTAAGATCTATTGACCAGATTTTTTAGATTATCTCTTCAGAATAAAGATGACTTACGTTAGACAAAACTTCCCAATAAGTTTATCAACATACTCTTTTGGCAACACTTCGTGTACATGAAATGGCAACAAAATATCACTGTACATCATAGTTTTATTGTCCATGGCTCTAAAAATATATAGCATGTGACAATTCCAACTACCAATATAGTTCATGTTTGCATTAATTACCCAACAATAAAATCCAATGCAACTTTGTTTGAAGGTTAAATTAGATACAACATGCAAGTTAACATTAATTAGTAAGAAGATAACTTGCTCACATTTATTAAAATAAAACTGCACAATCTGTGTGTTATATTCCAAGTTAAAAGGGTATTTATCTTTGGGTGGCCAAATTACTTTGATTAGATCAACCCTTTGCAACCTACCTTTTTATCACTTGTCAGTTTTTAAGATTCCAGTAGGTGTGAGAAAGAAGATAGAGAAGATAATGAGAGACTTTTTTATGGGAACTAGGGGAAGGGAATCATAGGATTAGTTAGGAAGTGGTTAGTAGAGGTAAAAATGTAGGGGGTTGGGAATAGGCAATATACAGAGGAGGAACTTAGCTCTCCAGGGGAAATGGCTGTGGAGAATGGCACAAGACAGGGACCATTGTGGGCAAAGCTGCAAAGGTAAGAGTATCCATGGGTTCTTGAACAATGGATGAGATGCTAGAGCATCGGCTAGGGCAAATTGAGCTTCTCCTTGGAAGGCCATTAATGTGGTACTACCACTTTTCATTCCTTTTACAAGATATAATCTTTCTAGTGGTAATTGTATTAAATTTTGGGAACATGTATGGTTGGGGTCTTCCTTCTTGAAGGAACAATTTCCTCATTCCTTCAAACTCAAGCAATGGATTTAATTGGGATTTGGTTGGAAGGGCATAAGAGATTCCAAACTCTAGAATGTACTTAAGCTACTTCAACTGTTGGAAGAAGTCATTCTTGATCCGTCTAAATCTAACAATCGAATTTCAACTTGTACTCCTTCAGGCTCATTTTCTTGTGCTTCCTTATTCAAAGCCTTGTCTCAACCTCTCTATAGCTTGCCTTCTTTTCCAATTAAGGAGGAATGGAATAAGCCTATTCCTCCTAGAATTGGTGCTTTTTGTTAGGAAATTATCCATGAAAAGATTACTACTTGTGATTTACTTCAAAGAAAAACAACCAAAGTGGTACTTATCCCCTCATTGGTATACTTTGTACAAAGCTAATGGTGAGTTGCTACCAGCCTACCGCTTATCTCTTGTTCTTTCATTGCTTCTCTTTGGTAATGGGTTTTCTCAGTGTTTGGGTGTAAGTGGAATCCTCCAGCAGATGTTCAAAGCCTTTTTTGCTCCAACTACCTTTGTATGGCCAAAGAAAAGGGGAAGATTCATGTGGATATGTACAAGAGAAGCAACAATTTCGACAATTTGGGAAGAAAGGAAATTTAGAATTTTTTCTAGAAGAGAGAAGCAAGGAAGACGTAATGGAAACAATAATGATTAGAGCGGCACATTGGTAAACTCCTTGGACACTTTTTCAAATGTGTCGATGGGTGAAAATGATATACTTAGAAAGCAGAAGGAAGTGGCTGAATCTTTCTCAACTAAGACTGTCTCCAATTACCAATGGTCTCCATCGGAAAGAGGGTCCATCAAACTTAACTTTGATGGCAGTAACATGGGAAACCCAGGAATCTCAAGTATTGGTGGTGTCTTTAGAGATGAGAAGGGCAATATAATTGCCTATACTTAGGACCGGCTGGGGAGGGAGACTCTCTTAGAGCAGAAGTATTGGCCTTGATGGAAGGTGTAAAAAGGGTGAAAGAATTGAACATTAGGAATTTGGTTATTATTCGAAATTGGTAGTGAGCTGGATACAAAGTGAGGAATTGAAGCTATGGAATTACAGCAATGAAAAGAAGAAGTTCAGATGGTTCACAAGAGGTAATGGAAGTCCCCTTCAATTGTATTAAGTGATGTGCTAATTCCTTGGCTGATACTTTAGCCAAACAAAAGGTAGGGAGAGAGAATTTATTTTGGGCACAGTTGTAACTTGTAAGTGAGGGGATTTGTTGTGGGGAGAGATAAAGAGATTACATCTCTCACTAACTTATTGTTAGGGGTGTTCAAATTCAGTTGATAAACTGAAAAACGAACCGAACCAAACTGAATAAGCAAGTTCAGTTCGGTTAACTTGGATATCGGCTCAGTTCGGTTTTTGTTTTTAAAAAAAAACAGTTTTCAGTTTCGATTCAGTTTGGTTGAGATTTTCAACCGAACTGAATCGAAAACCAAATTAGTGTTTATTTAATGAAGTATATTAAATATTTAATGCGATCTATTTAATACTTAATTCTAATTAATTATTATATTTCCCAATGACCAATTTGGCAATTTCCCATTGAGCTTTAATTGTTTGCGAATAACTTTTAATTAATAATTGTTAATTAAAACCTAGACTAATCATTAATTGTTCATTAATTATTAATTGTTTTTGAAAATTGTTCAATTCTCCAATCCCCCATTGGTATAGGGCTTTGGGCATAGCTTTTAATTAATAATAGCTAATTAATTAAAACCACTAGGCTTTGGGGCATTCTAACTTTTAATTAATAATAATAGTCAATTAATTAAAACAATTGGGTTTTGGGGCCATTTTAACTTTTAATTAATAACACATATTAATGGTCAAACCGAATAGTCGGTTCTGAACTCTAGTTCGGTTCGGTTGGAGAAAATGGTCAAACTGAATAGTCGGTTAGGTCCTTGGTTCTAACCAAACCGAACTGAACCGAACGATTGTACACTTCTGTATTTCTATACCATGCACAATCCTTTCTACTTTATCATTAATAAATTCAAAAAAAATTATTCCAAGTTAAATTCAAAAAAATATTCCAAGTTAAATTCAAAAAAACAATTCCAAGTTAAAAAGGAAGCTGTCATGAACAGTGAGTGACACTTACATGTATGAACAACAAAGTCAAAATGCTCTGGAAAAGCTCTTGCCAAATAGAAGCAACAAGCAGCATGAGTCCCTCATTTACTAATAGACACATGAAGAAATTCAGTATAAAATACATCAACAGGCTGAAATCGTCCCGTAGTCCTACGAGGAAGTAGAAGACAAGACTTGAAGAGACTGATATGAGGAACAGGAATGGCATGCTAGAAAGAAGGTGCCCAATTAGGAAAACAAATGCTCCTGAATGCTGGTTTGCCTCTTCATGCATGTAGATCTGGAAGGAAAAGTAGCAGAAAAATCATAAAATTAAAGATTTTACATATAAGCAAAGATTAAACCCCATGTTACAAATATCTGCATAACTGCATCAGTCAAAACAAATCAGTACAGAAATAAACGTATTCTCCTTTTACAAGAAAGAAATGATCAAGATCTTGGTAAGCAGTTTTCTCCATTCAAAAAGTCGGGTGGGCTATTTCTCTGACAAAGAATTTAAAAAGAAAGTGATGTAATTTGCTAGTGAATATTTTGCTACCTGTAAAAATCAGGTTTACAATCTATCTCCATTAACTTGCACTGAAGCAAGGTTCATACCAGAGAAACTGTGTTTCTTGTTAAATACCGTTCTTTCAGCATGCACTTTATTTCCATTTTATTTGTGCAATGCATATTGGTCATTTTCCTAGTATTTTTCAAATATATTGTCCACAATTATGACATAACAAAGTCATATTTGCACCTTAATTGTTTATAAAGTAATAGGTTTGATTTAACTATGATACTTCAAAGATAATAAACGCACTTGATTATCTTAGATGAAGTAGAAGATCAAGACTGTAATCAGTCTTGAATCCTAATAGGTTTTAGGTTTACAAAACAGAAGAAAAGTGAGAGAAAGGAGAGAGAATAGAAGAGAAACAGGAGAACACAAGTGGTTGAAAAGAGGGACAGATTCTAACAGATCTGCCGCCGCC